CAGAGATTGAAGTGATGTGGACTCAAGCCAATGAAAGCTGAAGCAAACAAAAGCTGGAAGAAGAGAAAAATAGACTCCCCTTATGGAGTCCCCTTAGAAGCTTGGTCTGATGACAACCTGTTCTTGGTCCCTGAAACTAATGCTGGACTTCTGGCCTCTAGAACTATAATAGAATATATTTCTGTTGTTTTAAGTCACCAAAGTTCTGGTAATTTGTTATAGCAGCCCAAGAATACTAATACACATGGGTCTTAGGATAAATCCAGCCTAACGGTACGATGATGATTTGCAATCTCCACCTTCAGTCCTCTAATAGTATGCATAACCGGTTAGAAGAATATTTTTGTTATGGAAATATTGCACAGGAAACCTCGCAGTGTATGCAGGGGCATCTGTTAGTTATAGAATAAATATTGACAATACTTAGTTGAAAATTACATCTGACTAGTAGTATCTTATATAGACTCCTCATTCTAAGACACACAACGATGCATCAAAGGGGCCCTAAGTAGTGTTTTCATACATGTGTATGTATAGGTACATATCCTGTTGCATCAACTAGAGAAACCCTCAGGACAGCCCTTGGTACCCTCGGTGATACATTTCACAGATGAGTTAACTGTCATCAGAGCACAGAGGTGGTTTGCCCAAAGATACATGGTCAGTAATTATCAGGGCTGAGCTTGGAACCCAGGTCTGCATAACCTTAAATATGTTGCTCCCACATAGCCACATTTGCTTCATAGAGGATTGAATGCCGTTAAATTCAGATAAGAGACAAAGTCAGAAGGGTGGTGTGAAATTCTCAACACAAGCTCCCTGCTATCTCTGCACCTTGCCATGATTACCCCAGTTATAAACTCAGGCCCTTCTGGAGTTTTGTCTACAAAGCAAAACTTCCTCAAAGTCTTTATAAATATTAAATGTCTTCCTTTCAGATTAGAGAGTAGGGGCACATCTTGCATTGCCCTGAACACTTTGCATCTTTTCTACCATCCTCATCTCTCTGACCCAGTCCTTCCCTCTCAAATTGTGTCTTGTAAATCTGATTTCTTCCCCAATATGAAAACAATGAACAAATATTCCCCTATTTTTCTCATATCCAGAGGATACAAGAATTAATCACATATCCAGAGAGTAAGAGAGTTAATCAAATGATTTATCCTAGAGCATTTACACATAGGAAGGATTTTGGTGCTAGCCATCTTTGCAGTGGAATGTTCTCTCTCTTGTTAAAATTGATAATAAAAAATGACAAGATAGAACTATTTGGAAGAACAGAGGGTGACCATGTCCTTAAGGAGGTAAAAGACATTCCTACTCCTTGTGTTAGTTTCCTACTCCTGCTGTCACAAGTTACCAGGATCTTACTTGCTTCATACAACACAAATTTATTATCTTACACAGTTCTCGAGGTGAGAAGTCTCACTGATTTAAAATCAAGGTATCAGTAGTGCTATATTCCTTCTGGAAGCTTCAGGGGAGAGAATCTGATTCTCAGCTTTTCATCTTCAAAGATAACCCCATGTTCCAGGCTGCATGGCCCCTTCCTTCATCACTGAAGCATCCCTCCCCATTGTCCCAGTTCCTCTCTGACTGTGACCCCCCTCCTCTCTCTTATAAAGACCTTTCTGATGATGCTGTCTTTCCCAGATAATTCTGGTGTGTCCTAAATTTTCTGAATATCCTTATGCATGAAAAAAAATAATAATTGGCAAGAATTCAGACCATACTGTCCAAGAAAGAGGGTTTGTCCACTGTCTTAGGTTGGATTGTTCAGGGACAATAATGCCCATGCAGGCAGCATATTTATAATGCACCAGAAACACTGGGAGGAAACAAAGCAGTGAGACAAGAAAGAGAATAGGGACTCCGAAAGTCTCCTCAGCAAGGAGCTAATGCTGAGGATGACTGGAGCTCAAGCCCATGTGGAAACATGGGAAAATATCTTGCTATTATTCCACCTGAGAAGGGAGGGAGCTGGGGTATGTATACACCTCCCCTGTTCTCACTTATTTGGGGCTTTCCAGGAGGATGCTCATTCTAGGTGCTATGATAGGCCATGAGTTCAGGCAAGGCTGCCTTCTCCAGCTTCAGATAGAGCAGTGAGAAACAGATATGCCCATGGGGAGTCAGCAGATGTACCGAAAAAGGGAAAGGGAAACGGTAGCAAGAGAGACTGCTACACTCACCCACATACACACAAAAAATATGTATTTCTATCCAGAACTGCTTCTCACTGAACCTAAATCTTAGCAAGCAGTTTGCTAGTAACTTCCCTTGAAATTCAGGCCCCTGGAAAGCAGCAGGAGATTTGTGCACAGACTATACCAATGTAGTCAGGTCACTCTTAGTCATGCAAGAGTAATGCTCCCTGGATTCCCCAGGCTCTAGTCTTCTCATGTCAGTGTAGTTGATTCCATTTTCCTTGCTACACAACCAGGCAGGGATGCCGCTAGGCAGAGGCAGATATGTGAGGTATAGGGGTTCAAATCTCTCTCTAAGTTTTATCCAGATTCAAAGTATTTCTCCATGTAAATGGGCTGTGGCTTGGCCAGAGATGGAGACTCTCTTTCCTGAAAGTGGGGCAAGGAGGCAGACGTCTGAGTCAGGATGATGTCCCCACTGACTGCTAAAGAGTCAAAGAGGAAAGTGGCTTTGATGGTGCAGGGCAGGGACATGCACTGAGTAGCCGCTACTCTCACAGAAGAGGAGGTGTTCACTGACCTGGCCTTTCCCCAGGGCCTCTCCCTCACTTGCTTTTCAGGAAGCCAGGTTTTTTGAGGGCCGTACCTGAACACTCATGAACATTCTGGTGGGAAAGGCGGATCAGAGCATTAGGCAAGATGCATTACCTTGGTCTTCTTCCTTTGGAGGCAATTGATCGTGAGGGTCTAGATTGGTTCAGAGTTTCAAGTTTATCCTGATTAAGGCTTCAACAGTTGGAGGAAGAAATGAGTTTTTTTTTAAGTAAACAGATCTAGCATTACTAGTCAACCCTTCATACTGATGACCTATGGGAAATAATACCCAAGAAGGACAGAAAATTGGGTAGAATAAGGGAAGCTGCAAACCAAGATGAAGCTGCTGCCCATTGAGACCCTGAGTATTAAAGAGACTCATAGCTCTGGATAATGGAAGATCCGTGAGTGGCACAGGCACTGAGGAATCACGGCATCATTATTGTGCCTCTGCAGGGAATTGCTTGAAAATATACTGGTAATAACGAATGTTTAAAGTCACTACAAATTCTTTGGAGTGTATTAAATATGCTTCTGATAAAGACCATTTTCCCCACATGAAACAATGGGAACCATGTGACAATCACAGAGGTGTTGTTAGTGTAGCGAATGGGATTGTTACTCACGCAACGTTCATTTAAGTAATGTGAAGATCTGACAGATGCATCCTCTAAGACTTTATTAGACATTCCCTACAAATGGTCATACTCTCCTGTATACCCCCAATACAACTCTAAAATATATTACTCCATGTAGTCCTTATATTTGTATGAAGTTTTGACTTCTTTCCCCAAAATATCACTTGTCACAACAGTGGATCTAGAGAGAAATACATTGCCTCCAGGCAAATCTACGCTGCCCTGTTCTGACCTGGGACCCTAAGGACATTGTTCCCATACTGAGTTACTGAGATGAACCAGCCCTGCAGCTGCGCTCAGCCTGCCCCATCCCCTGCTGATTTGCATATTCCCAGAGCACAGCCCTCTGCCCTGAAGACTTCTTAATAGGCTAGTCACACCCTGTGCAGGAGTCAGTCCCAGTCAGGACACAGCATGGACATGAGTGTCCCCATTCAGCTCCTGGGGCTCCTGCTGCTCTGGCTCCGAGGTAAGGAAGGGGAACACTAGGAATTTACTCAGCCACTGTGCTCAGTACTACCTGGTTCTTCAGGGAAGTGCTCATATAATATGGTTAAAAGTGTAAATATTTGTTTTTGTGTTTCCAATCTCAGATGCCAGATGTGACATACAGATGACCCAGTCTCCATCTTCTCTGTGTGCATCTGTAGGAGACAGAGTCACCATTACTTGGCAGGTGATTCAGGGCATTAGCAGCTATTTAAATAGGTATCGGCAGAAACCGGGGAAAGCAGATAAGTACGTTTCTGATCCATGTTGCATCCAGTTTGCAGATGGGGGTCCCATCTCAGTTCAGTGACAGTGGATCTGGGACAGATTTCACTCTCACTATCAGCAACCTGCAGCCTGAAGATTTTACAATGTATTACCGTCAACAGGGGAGTAGTTCTCCTCTCCCAGTGTGACAACTCATAACATCAACCCCCATGGAAGCAGATGAGTAAGGCTGGGCTGCCCAAGATGCTCCTCCTGGTGCCTCCATCTGTTGAGTTGTTTCTCAGATGCAGCCAGGTTTTGAAGAACATTGGGAAATTTTGGTAGATTGTGCTGACGTGGCTCCTTTGAACCCACTCTCTTTCCTCCTCATCCCCAGCAGCATGGACTTGCAATGTCAGTCCTGATTTAATAAAGAGATTTGACCACCTGAGAAGTCTGTGTTATGGGACATTCAGAGTTATTATAGCAAAAGAGAAGCCACTCTAGCTGTTACAAGCAGGAATTGTTTTAAGTTATGGAATTAGTGTCTAAACTACAGCTTTTCAAAGCCTGTTCAATGTTAGTTAGGGAAGCAGATACTAGAGATAGGATTCTCTGGGGCTCCTCTGTAAACCAGGGTGCACCCTGCCCTGCAGGTGTGGGCTGAACTACCACATGGTCCTTGTATCTGTCTGAGAAGCCCAGAGTGTGGGTGCTGATGCTCTTAGCCTCCTGCAGTATCGCTCTAGGTGATTCTCTAGTTCTCAACTAAGTCCACTTGTCTGTCTGCAGGTGTCAATGAGCATGGAGTCATTCTCTTCTGACTTCCAAATCTCATGGAAGGACCGCTCCCTGAACAACTCTACAGAAAAGTATAGAGGGAAAAGTGGTTCCTAAGAACGTGTTTTCAGAACTGATGGTCATGATGAGGAACGGACAGCTGAAAGCCCAACATGGTCAGTATTTTCACAAAATAGTGAAAAACTTTGCCAGTTATGGATGGCCCTTGAATACATTTGAATGTGCTCTCACATGTTATGAGCAGGGCTCTATCATAGGAAGACAACTTTATTAAGTCATAGACACAGCTTAAAAATCAGGAAATTGTATGACATATACAACAATCATTTTACAAACCAATGAAAAACATTTCTTGATAAAAACTAAAACAACAGAAAACTAAACATGGATGTAGGATTTTTTTCCTAATTACAAAAACTCTTTGCTACTCAAAATTTATGCAGAATCCAGCAGCATCATGAGCTCACTGAGAGCATGACACACGTGCTAAATAGCAGAACGACCTTCAGTTCACTGAATGAGAATCTTCACTTAGCCATGGTAGTTGGTAACAGGTGATCTATAAAAGGCTTAAGAAGCTATGTACTATGTGATTTTTATTTCAGCTAAAGACATGTCGTGGTGTCAGGTGCCTGTCCCAGCTACTCAGGAGACTGAGGCAGGAGAATAGTTGGAACCAGGGAGGTGGAGGTTGCAGTGAGCCAAGATCATGCCATTGCACTTCAGCCTGGGTGACAAGAGCAAAACTTTATTCCTGCCACCAAAAAAAAGAGATATATTATTGTCCTAATGAGGCTATTTAAAAAAATTTCAGTGGAAAACCACATATTGCAAACATTCTCAGCTTTATTTTCTAATCAATGCAACATGAAATTTGAAAACATTTGGAAGATTGTAATGGTAGAGAAACATAATTATCTGTCCATGGAATAATAAAATACTTTGATGTTTAAATGGAGCAACAGTTTGTAGGGACTTTGATAATTGCCAAGGTGAAAGAGTAACTTAAAATTGTATATTTCTGTGTTCAGAAGTTTTAGACTTCATTCACCAGTTCAGTTTGGTTCTGGGAGGTTGCTCACTCCTGCAAAACTTGCATTAGAATGTGGCACCTGGTTAGTTACTGCCCTTTAGCCTTGACCTTAGATGAATACAATTCATAGGCTAGAGACAAGCTTGGTTCCCTGAAGCAGAACCACCCAGCTGAGCCCTGCCTTGAAGAGTCAAGTTAATATTAAAATGAACATCCACAAATACAATACAACTTAATGGAAGACACTGACTTTTAAATAGTTGGTTACCAATCATTGTTGTGCAAAAAACTGACAAATGTAATATTTATATATTTACACATACAAGATGTATTTTGTTACAATTAATGGCATTAGCATAAATGTTTAGTAATCTATTTATAAAGCTACCAAGGAGAGTTTTTAAAAGAAATTTAAAAAATAATATTTCAATTAAAATAGTAAAATTTACCTTATTAATGGAAATCCACACATATATAAAAACATGAATATAGGTGCTATATATATTTATTTGATAAATAGTTGGGTGCACATAGTTCCATATGTATATAGTCATGGCTAAATAAGGTCCTTTACGTACATATATAAGCAACTGAATATCTGTACATAAAGAATAAACAAAGTTGGACTTCTTCACATCATATACACAAACTAACTCAAAATGCTACAAAGACCTAAATGTGAAAGGTAAAATAATAATGCTCTTTTAAGACAACTGAGATGTCAATCTTTGTGACTCTGAATGAGGCAATAGTTTCTTACATATGACACCAAAAAAACAAGCAATCAAAGGAAAAAATGATGAACTTCACTTTATCAAATGTAATAACTTTTATTCCCTAATGGACACTGAGAAGAAAGTGAAAAGACAACCCATATATCATATATCTGATGAGGAACCACCACCCAGAATATGTAAATAACTCTTATAATTCAATAATAAACATTGAAAAACACTTCTCAACTACAAATTGGGAAAAAAAAGATCTGTACAGAAGTTTATCAAAGAAGATATATACAGAGTCAATAAGTACATGAAAGGAGACTCAACATCCTCAGTCACTGGAAAAATGACAAACCACAATCAGATATCTCCTCACATAACACTGGGATGGCAATCATAATCACAATAATAAACTGGAATATGTCAAGTGTTGGTAAGAATGTGAAGAGATTGGAACAATAATGGTTATTTATTTTTGGAGATGAGCTTTGTCCATGTTGCCCAAGCTTGTCTTGAACTCCTGAGCTCAAGCAATCTGCCCACCTAGGCCTCCCAAACTACTGAGGTTACAGGTATGAGCCACTATACCCAGCCAGTAATGATTAATTTTATGCATCAACATAACTGGGCTAAAGAGTGCCCTGATAGCTGGTAACACATTATTTCTGGGTGAGTCTGTGAGGGTGTTTCCAGAAGAGATTAGCATTTGAATCAGTAGAGTGAATAAAGAAGATTGGCCTCAGCAATGTGGGCAGAAATCATTTAATACCTTCAGGGTACAAATGGAAGAAAAAGGTGGAGGAAATGTACATTCAGTATTTTTTAAAAATGTGATATTCATCTTCTGTCCTCAAACATCAGTGTTCTTGGTTCTTGGGCATTCACACTCAGACTGTGACTATCATCATTGGACCTCCAGTTTTCAGGCCTCCTTGAAGAGCCTCTTTTAAGGGCTCTTTGAAGGACAATTGGCCTTCAATTAAAAAACACAACACTTAATATGCTCCTTAGAAGTACTAATAAATGCAACACAGAGCTTAAAGATATGAAATATTACAGAACGCAGTGGGAGACAACACAGTGTGAGTAGCAAGAGCAGGAGCTGAGCGGCCATTATCATCGTTAGCCCTCATGTGATAGCATGTAGTCACTATAGAATCTACTTTGATGTGAGACAGGGGATAAGTTCTAAACCCACTCAACGTGGTTGGACACACCTAAAAAATGAACAAGCTCAAAATTTACATGATGGTGATATCCCAAGGGGCTATACTCTTAAATCAAAGTGGTGAAAAATAAATGATTCCCAAAACTGAAAGTGGATACCAAGCCGAATCAGAAGACAATCAAATTGCCAATTACAAAGAAGCCTCAAAATTAGGTGGAATAAAGACAAGGTTTCTGTGTCTGTGCCTCGGCAGTGAGAAACAGGCAAGTGGCCTTGGTGGTGTGGGTGGCTCTGTTCCATAAGGTCACTCATGTGGGCAGAAGGCATGACCACCCTCAGCACACAGCCTTCCTCCTTCCTGACAGTCACTGCCTCGATGCCCATTCTCAGCAGCAAGAGTGGAACAGAGTGGAGAAAAAGCTGTTCTCTTCTAAAGATCAAAGAAAACTTGAGCTTTGCATCAGGGATAAATGTTCTTTTGCATAAGGCACGCATTTGTGAAATGTTTTGCTGTGTAAATCTCATGAAAAACTCACATTTTGTTTGTTTTAATTTGAAAATGTATTTACACATTATTTGGAAATAACTTGGAATATAGTGTCATATTTTGGCAGCCTATCTGAAGTTGTCATTTTCTGTTGACATTTACTGCCCAAAAATCATCTGTAAAACAGACTTTTATTTGTGACTAACACGTCTCCTCTGAAAGGAATCTGTCTTTTTATCTCTTCAGGCTCTTTAAGCTCTTTAATTGGCCTTTTGTTTTTAAAATATTCCATGAATTCAGTTTAAAATATTATTTATGTAAATTAATTAATTAGCTTTCACTATTACAAAATAAAAAATCATATATGTTTCCATGTGAAACACTTGCCCCTTGAGGGCAAACAAATCCCACAATGAGAAACAGAGAGTGCCATGAACAAAGAAATACTGGAAATGGAAGGGTGATGGTGTGTCACTGTCAACAGGGAGCCCTAAGGCTAAAACAGGGTCTCACGTGTGACCTGGAGAATGTGGAATTTGCTGACAGGGTGCTGAGTTGTGGGGAGAATCTGATCTGTGCTCTGTGCTCTGAGACTGGAAGCCAGACCCTGACCACCAGTGTAGCTGCAGGAAATAATCGAGCTAGATGGGTTAAAAGGAGTTCATAAGCTTGAAACCCCATCCAACAGAATTAGTGTTCTTATCAGAATAAAATCCAGAAAGCTCTCTTCTTCCCCATCTCTCTCTTTTTCTCTTGCTCCCACCCTTATCCCCATCCCTCCATCATTGTCTATGAACCAAGAAGAAGGTTCTTAATAGAAAGTGAACCCTGCTGGACCCTGATCTTGGACTTCCAGCCACCAAAAGATGTTAAAATAAATTTCTATTGTTTAAGCCATCTGGGCTAGAGTACCTTGGCGTGGCAGGGGGAGCCAAGTAATCCACCATCCCCACTCCACCTGAGTAGAATCAGCATCAGGAGGCTCCTGGTGGATGTGGGGGCCCAGCTTTGCTCCTCTTCTAGCTGCTATCTGACTATCTGGTGAGAAGAAAGGACTCAGGCTTCATCCTCAGTTTGGTTGCATTAAACACAAATGTTTCCTTCACAAACAGATAATTAGCCTGCTTTGGTTTCTAATTAGAATTACTTCAAACTGCAAGAATGACTTGTTGCAGTTAATATTTTGTGATGTTCACATTGGGTCTCCATTTAGATGTCAGGGGGGACATTGTATGGACCCCGTCTCCAACTCCCCTCTCTGTGTCCCAGGAGGGAGGGTCACTGTCACCTGCATGTCTGGCTAGAGTATGAACAGTGTCCTAGTCTGCCACCAGCTGAACACGGCTCCTTCTTTGAGCCCCTGCTGGTTCGTGCTGCCCCTGTACACAAGGCCTGGGTCAGGGGTGCTGGACACGGACAGACGTGTCTCTGTCCATCAGCAGCTGAGCTTTTTAAATGGCGGTTCATTCTAAATAGAGTCCTGGCAGTCCTGTGAGCCACAATAGCTGGGCAGAGATCACATATCGCTCCAGCCAGAGGGCAGGCTGCCAGTGAACTGTGGAGTGCTTTTTCCTGTGAACACAGTCACTGAGTCACCTGTGCTGCTCTGTCTGATGGGAGGCCCCAGGAGAGGAAGTACCCATACTGATCCTTAGCATAAAATGTCCCTGCACCTAGGCGTCCAGATCCACCACCCCTCTCTCCAGCACCTGCACCTCTGAGCACTTCAGAACCTCCATGGGTCT